CCTGGAGGCTGGCATCCTGTGTATCCCTGGAGTAATGGCAGAGTGGCCCCCAAAGATCACAGTAGTGTACCCTAAATGGCTGGAAGGTGAGAGCATCTTACTGGGGAGTTTTGTTTGATCATTATAGCCAGTGCACATGCCTCCAGTAGCACTATACAGAGACCCCCTCAGTAACCCCTGCAGTGAGAGGGGTAAAGGCATGGTATACTATACCTGAACCAGACCCCCTTCCTGCCATGGCCCTTTCACAGGACCACTCTCTTGCATGCATCCTACCTGTTGGAGAAGATTTGTCTATGTTAGTATCATTAAAACATGTGTCTTACTGCCCTTGAGGTTAATCTCCCTTAAATGTCTTCATGAATTGAGCACACACTCTAGAGAAAACTGGCAGCACTAACCTCTGGGTATCAGCATTGAACATGCCATACACTGGCTTTCTCAGTCTCCACTGGGCACTGATGAAGGCTGCTATGGACAGAACTGTGTCTGCCCTAATTTTGGGCTGAAACCCTAACCCCCAATGTGACTGTATTTGGAGATAGAGTCTTGCCTAACCTAAGAGGGATTGCCCCACTGGCAAGTTCTCTCTGGATTCAGTGAGACCAAATAACAACCGAACATAGGTGGTGAAAGGGTTTGTACCAAGCCTTATTCTCATGGTGGCAGGTCGAGTGCTGGAATCATGTTTGCCCCTGGAAAGGCTGCATCTCCATCTCCATCTCTGTCTCTAGGCAGAGCACTGAGCAGAGCTCTTTATAGAGTAACAGCAACAATAATGGCTCATTGCCAATGGGTGTGTAAGTATTACCCTATCAGTAGGCCAATTTACTTTAGCAAGTAGATTAAGGTCAGGTGAGGATCCTGGACATAGGAGCTTCCATTTTTCCTACACTCCACCCCTCCAGGATTCTCGCCTCACAATCTACGCACCTCAATCTTCTGTGATTGTCCCTGTGCAAGAAAGCTGTAACCTTGTAACAACAAAAATTATAATAGTTGTCCTCAAGCCTGAGGAGATTGATTGCCACCATGTGATCATTCCAGCTGTATTCACACCAGTCCTGTTTCATGATCTGCACTTTCCATGGGAGGCCAGTAGCAGAATTGATAGGCAGCTCCTTACACACAAGCAAGCAGAAGTTTTTGCTAGGGTGTGTGCCCAATCCACAAAGACATGAGAGGAGATTAACATTAAGGGCAATAAGACACATGTTTTAATGAAACCAACATAGTCAAATCTTGTCCATTGGGTAGGATGCATGCAAGAGAGTGGCGCTGTGATAGATCCATGGCAGCAAGGGAGTCCCATCCTGGTCTAGTACACCATATTTTTACCCCTCTCTCTGTAGGGGTTATTGAGGAGGTCTCTGTGTAGTGCTACTGGAGCCATGTGTACTGGCGATAAAGATAAAACAAAACTCCCTGGTGAGATTTTCTTACCTTCCAGTCATTTAGGGTACACTACCATGATGGATGTATTTGCCATCCCAACAAGACCACAACAGTGGCAGAGAGACATTTCCAACATGGAATAATATGTGGGCATCTGAGAAGACCTGGGTGTCCTCAAAATGGCAAATTCTTGTTCTGCTGACAGCAAGGTGCCAAAGTGTGTGAAGAAGTTTGGGGTCTTGGCTAAAAGGACCAGCATTCAGGGATGATCAGTGCTAATCGTCATGGTGGGTGACATTCTCAGTCCAGATGGTCTCTGAGCTCTTTTAGCTTGTGGAGTCCCAGGAACTCATGCTGCCAGGTTTGACATAGATGGCTGGCATTATCAGGAAGAGTGAGAGGGTAAATCCAGGGGGCCCTCATTTGTTTGATGCTGCTCAGCACCTGCAAATGCTGCTTCTCTTGGGAAAACATGTTACACCCACTCCTCAGCAAGTCAGAGTGTGTCTGAAACAGCTTGTAGGTTCCAGCAGGGCCATGGTGCTGGGAAATGCTGGAGGCTGCAGGAAGATTCTCTGAGTACAGCAAGTAAATTCAGAAGAGGTGCAGTGGGTGGGCCATCTGGCCAGCTCCACAGACATCTGAGATGATGCTTTTAATAAAGATGTTCTCTTAATAAAAACTTGTGGTATAAAGTATAAAAGTAAAGTATAAAAAGTGTGGTGGTTTCAAAACATGACCCCACTTTCTTTGGCACTCCACCCAAGTAGGTGGGGTCAAAGCCCCTTTCCCTAGAACCTGGGAAAGCCTGTGACTCCTTCAGCCAGTAGAGAATGCAGAAATGACCTCCAAGTCTAGGTCATAAAAGGCCATGTTCTCTTAGAACACTTGCTCTCCAGGACATACCTGTAGACTCTCTGAGACACTCACACCAGGTGGAAAGGCA